TTAAAAGCATAAAATTTATTATTGGGCCAGGGATATAGCTCAGTGGCGCCGAGCCTGCCTGGCAAGTGCAAGGTTCTGAGTTCAATTTCTAGTACCAGAAAAAAAAATTATTATTAATTTTATTTAGTTACAGTAATGGTGGTTGGGTGTGTCTTTAAAAAGACCTTTAGAAATAACATTGAAATACTTACAGATGAAATAATGTGATGTTTAATTTGCATCAAAATATAGTACAAGAGTGGGTGAAATAGGTGGGGTATAGAAGAAGCAAGATTTGCCATGAATTGATGATTATTGAAGTTAGGTGGTATGTATGCAGGAGTTTGTTGTATTATTCTACACACCTTTGTGTAGATGTGAACTTTTTCATAATAAAAAATCTTTTAAAAGTTGTCTATTAAGCTCCTCATTCATTGGTGTATGCTTGAGATTAGGTGAACTGTGGAGAGAGATGCCCCCTTCAGCCTGCAAATGTCCCCAGTATTCATTCATGACTGCTGTTCCGGGTTCTTTCTCCTACAGTGGATGCTTGGAGGTTTGTGCTTTAGTCTGTGGAGCATATGTCATTGATTTCACATCACCTTATGGAACAGGGATTCTGCAGATCTAAGGAGGAGTAAAGAGTGGCATATGTGGTTGAAAAAACATACTCAGTATGATAGTTTTATGTTTAAAAAGTTTATTAATGGTTATAATATAATCTGCAAAGACAAGAGCTGGGTAAAATTTCTTGTGTGGAAAGCAGTACTGAAGTAGCGGCTCTCAGTGGAGAGTCTCCCTCATCAAAAGGCAGATCAGAAGGCAGCAAGGATGAAAAAAACTGCTGTGGATATCAAGACTGCTCCTGCGAAGGCGAGGGTTATGCTGCTTTTTTACAGAAACTGAGGCTTGAAAGGCAAGCAACGCATCATAGCTAAACTTGAAAGTAAAAAAGAAAACAGTTTGAAAGCTGTCTGTCTCTTTCTAAAACACACATACACCCTTCTTCCTTTTGTGGACTTATTTGGTCTTATAGGACAGTGAACCTTTTAGAGCTTTCAGTGATTAAAAAAAACAACCTGCTGCAGCATACGTGCCATAGAGAGAGATTTATGTCTATTTATCTAGTTCTGGGGATCAAATCAAGGGTCTTGGTCATGCGGGGCAAGTGCTCTCCAACTAAGCTGAACCCCCAAACCCTGTTCTTGTGGGATATTTATAATTCACTGGCCTATGTAGAGATCACTGATCACCTTTATATAGAAAAAAGTACATAAAATAAGATTATCATAGCTTACGTACTTTAAATTTTTTAACAACTACTTCAGTATAAGATTATGAAGGGTTCAGAAGATATAAAGCCTATTTTAGCGGAATTCTTAAAAGCCCAATTTTTTAGATTGCATACAGGCACTGGTTATTGTGAAAGTTGTATAAGAAACATGATTAATAAATTAGTTACACTGACTACAGAGGAATGTGAATACTCTCCCTCTCATCTAGTGTAACATATTTTTAAAAAATCTATTTAAAGCCTTGGAGTTTCATGTACACTCTGATCATACTGGTAACTTTTCAGTTGACCACTGCAAACATTTGCTAATGACTATGATTAACGTAGTGGGCCCAAAATCCTATTTCACTTATGTTACTTTTTTTTATACCCTCTCTCAGTTATGGTCATTGTTCATTTATCCAGCTCTCTAAAAGTGCTGCAGAGGAGAACCACCTTCGCTACCAACTGAAGACTCCCTGTCCAAACCTTGAGGCTTGCATTAAAGGAGGGAAGTTTATACACTTGACCGCCAGTTTTTTTTGAGACAGGATCTTACTATGTAGTTCAGGCTAGCCTTAAACTCATGGCAATCCTCCTGCCTCAGGCTCCTGAGTACTGGGATTACAGGTGTGCGCCACCATACCTGGCTTGACCACCAAATTAATTTAAGATGCAGGATTTGCTTTATCAAGTTTGTATGTTAGTCCCTAGCTGTTTGGGAGCTGTTTCTGGTGCCACATGTAGCCACAGGCATGGTAACACTTGCAGTCAAATTAATGCCCTTCTACTAAGGACTTTGAAATTCAAATTTTGCTCATTTTGAAGGAAGGGTCTAATCTGATACTTCCTCACTCTACTGTCCTTATAAAACAGATTTTAGTCATGTAAATGTATCAGGAGGTCAATGCTAAAATTAATCTTTTAAACTTCTTATTGCAGAATTAGATATACCATTTATAATTTGTACCATTTATAATTTTTAAAAGAGTTGTACAATCAGTGTTTCTCATGGCTAATATTGCAAGTTTGAGCACATTTTGGACCAATTATTTCCTTAGGGTTTGATGATCTCACTACTATTTCCTTTTTAACAGGAAAAAAAGTGTAAATTCTGACACACTAAGGTGTTAAAGGCTTAATATGTTAGCCTATCCTCCAGAATACCACATTTGAACTTTGAAGGACAGTTTAACATGATAGTTTTAAAGTGTGATGCTTAACACAAAGTCACCAGTGATGTGAGTGGCTCAGCGGGGTGCTGAGGAGACTGGGCAGCTGGGTGACCAGCCATGTCCCTGCCACTGCCCTGTCGCTGATTAATCAACTGACCAGCAGTGCGTGTAACTTTTAAAGGTTTGTTTCTGAATGTGAAGCCAAACAGCACAAAGCGCAGTACATACTTAATTTTCATCATTACAGCTCGATAGTTTAATTGTCCACTGGTGATGAAAAGCATTCATGTGAAGTTTTCTGAGATCACTATAAACATTCATCCCTCTAAAGGTCGCTTTCTCTTCCAGCTCATTTGACATCGTCGTGGTCGGCGGTGGAATTGTGGGGCTTGGCACGGCCAGAGCGCTTATTCTGCGATATCCTGCTCTCTCAGTCGGTGTTCTGGAAAAGGAGAAAGACTTAGGTACGTATGCTGTCGGCGTTGGTCTTCCGGTTTGCTTGGGCACCAGCTCATTTCGTCAGTTCTGATCAATCAATCAATTAATCAATCAATCAATCAGTGTTAGTATCTTATTTTGGGTTCTCCTGGAAGCAGAGCTGGGACAAAGACTTGTGTGTAGGTCATTTATTTGCCAGGTGGTCTGAGGAGGTGGGAAGGAGTGAGTAGATGGGAGAGTAGGCGGGAAGAAGGAAACGCCATGTGAGGATGCATTATCAGGGCTGCTGCTGGGAGTTTGATTTCGATGGGATCTCGGAGCAGTGCGGTGCTTCCCAGGATTGAACTCAGGCAGCCATCAGCTCCTGTCTCTCTTGGTTGAGAATTGTCCTTACAATGTGGAAACTTCCCCTCAAAAGATAGAAAAGGCCCTGGGGCAGGGTAGAGAGATCCTAGGGGCCCTTGAAGTGGTTTGCTGGTAAAGACAGGGAGTATATAAACCAGAATTGCAGTTGAAGTGAGAGATGGGTAGGAACAATGTGACATGGATACTGGGGAAGCTGACCCGGAAGTTTCCAGGGGTCAGGCTCTGAGAGCGAGTCATGGAGTTTCTCTTACCCTGTTTCTCTCGTTCTGTAGCTGTTCACCAGACTGGACATAACAGTGGGGTCATACATAGTGGAATTTATTATAAACCCGAATCTCTGAAAGCTAAACTCTGTGTACAAGGTGCAGCCCTCATCTATCAGTATTGTAACCAAAAGGGGATTTCCTACAAGCAGTGTGGCAAGGTATGGCATATTACTTGGGCCTTGACTAATTTATAACTAGCATTTAAAAAATCTGTTACTGGGGATTGAACCCAGGGCTTTTCCACTGAGCTAGGTCCCCAGCCCTTTTTTATTTTTATTTTGAGACAGGATCTCATTAAGTTGCCCAGGCTGAATAAGAATTTGCAATCCTCGTGCCTCAGTTTCCCAGAGTGGTGGGATTACAGGCATGGGCCTCCATGGCTGGCTTATAACTAGTATTTTCTTAGTGATGTTTAGTGCTGAATTTTTAAAAAATCTGATATCTTCTGCTTTTATATCTACATCATTTGTGAAATCTTTTATTAGAGAACAACAAAAACAAAATGATATGACTTCATGTAATAAAAAACAGCTTTATTGATACCTAATTTATACTTTTAAAATATATAATTCAGTTTTTAGTATACTCATAACTCAGTTTTTGGTACATTTGCAAACATCACCACTTACCCAATTTTAGGAATTTTTTAATCACCTGGGAAAGAAACCGGTTAGCAGTCACTCCCCAGTCCCATCTCCCCTGGCCCTCTAGCAGCCATTAATATACTTTCTGTCCTTGTGAATTTGCCTATTTTAATACACTTTATATAAGTAGAATCATATCAGAGCATCTTTCCGTATGGTCTTTTGTGACTGGTTTCTTTAGTTTAGCATAATGTTTTCAGAACTAATTCATCTATTAGCATGAATCACTACTTTATTCCTTTTGGTGGCTGAGTAATACTCCATTTTATGGATATACCACATCAGTTCATCAGTTAATAGATGTTTCAATTTTTTATATTGTTTTTCTATTATGAATAATACTATGGACATTTATGTAGAAATTTTTCTGGGAACATATTTTCATCTCTTATCAACATATTTTCATCTCTTCAACATGGAAGTAGAATGTTAGGTCCTATGGGAACCATCTGTAACATTTTGAAGATCTAAAAAAAAAAACATTTTGAAGATCTGCCAAAATGTTTTCCAAAAGGCTTCATTATGTTATATTTCTACTAATAATGATTCCAATTTCTCCATATCCTCAACACCTGTTATCTTTTTGTATTAGCCATCTTACTAGATATAAAGTTGTAACTCATTTTTATTTGCATTTGCCTAATGATTAATGATATAGAACATGTTTTGTTTTAAAAGTTAATTTTTAATTGACAAAGACAATTATATATGTCATGTAAAACATGTACATGTGAATATGTACATGATAACATGAATATGTACACAACAGTATAGCCATTGTGGAATTACTACATTTAGCTAGCAAACTTATGTATTACCTCACATACTTACCTGTTTTTACGCTGAAAACAGTTGGAATCTCTCTTAATCTTTAAAGATACAATACATTGGCTGGGTGCAGTGGTGCACAGCTGTATCCCAGCTACTCAGGAGGCTAAGGCAGAAGGATTGCAAGTTTGAAGCCACCCTGGCTTACTCCAATATTTCGTTCTTATTGGTGCTTTTGTGAGGGGAATTGCTTTCCTAATTTTTCTTTTGATTATTTATTCTTTATGTGTAGAACATCCTTGATTTTGTATATTGAGCAGCTTTGCTGCTTATTCAGTAGTTCTGAGTGTGTGAGTGTGTGTGTGTGTGTGCTTCTTAGGCTTTTCTATTTGCAGGATCATGTTATCTACAAAATAAATTAGTTTTATTTCTTTCTTAATTTGGATGCCTTTATTTATTTTGCTTGTCTGATTTCCATGGGTAGGGCCTCCAATACAGTAGAAGCAGTAAAAATGGATATTCTTGAGTTGTTTCTTAGAGAGAAAGCAGTCTTTCACCCTTAAATATGATGCTGACAGTAGCTGTTTTTTTTTTTTTTAGATTCCCTTTATCAGATTAAGGAAGTTCCTTCCTATTCCTAATTTGTAGAGTGGAGGGTTTGTTGTTGCTTTGTTCCATTTTATTTTTAAAATTAATTTTATTGGTACAATTTAAATATATATAATGATCATATTTATCACGTTCATTTTTTTCTCAATCCCTTCTCCTCTTCCCCTCCTTCCTTACAAAAGCTGTTTCCATTTTTTCCTTCTTTTCTCTTTTTTCTTTTTCCGTCCTTCTTACCCCCCATTTCCCCTTACCCTTTCAACAATTTCTTCCTATTTCACATTATCTGTTACATATTTTTTTCCTTATTTACACTTTCAGTTTCTCATATCAGAGAGAATGTGATATTTACACATGTGTGTCTGATTTATTTCACTTAAGAGTGTAGTCTCAAGGAGCATCCATTTAGCTATAAATGTCTCGAGTTTATCCTTCATGGCTGAGTAGTACTCCATTGTATAAAAAAACCACATCTTTTTTATCCATTCATTGATTGATAGGCATTTGGATTGTTTCCAAGATTTAGCTATTACAAACTGTGCCACTATAAACATGGGTGTACATATATTGTTGTAGTACAATGCTGATAATTCTTTTGGGAAGATACCCAAAAGGGGAATGGCTGGGTCAAATGGGCTCTCTAGTACTAGTTCTTTGAGGAATCTCCACACTGATTTCCACAGTGGTTGCAGCAGTCTGCATTTTCACCAACAACGGAGAAGGGTTCCTTTTTCCCCACAGCCCCACCAGCATTTGTTATTGGTTTGTTTCTTGTTAACAACCATTCTTTCTGGGGTGAGGTAGAATCTCAGCATTAAGGTTTTGGATTTTCTCTTTTTCTGTTTCTGTTGAGGTGATCCTGTGGTGTTTGTCCTTTATTCTACTAGCATGGTATATTACATTAATTTGCTTTTACTGTTAAATTGATCGTGCCTTCCTGTGATGAATCACAGATGGTCATCGTGTATAATCCTTTTTATATATACTGTTACATTCAGCTTTATTGTTTTGCTCATGATTTTCTCATCAGTATTTCTGAGGGAGGGCTGAGAGCATCGTTTAGTAGTAGAATGCATGTGCAGCATGTGCAAGGCCCTGGGTTCTGTGTGTGTGTGTGTGTGTGTGTGTGTGTGTGTTAATTTATAAGAAATATTGGTCTTCAGTTTCTTGTTTTTCTCTGGGTTTGGAACTAGGCTTATATTGGCCTCACAGAATTAGTTGAGAAAATGTTTCTTTTCTGTTTTTTGGAAGAGTTTATAAGAATTGATATTCTTTTTTAAACATTTGTTAGCATTCATGGTAAAACTTTTGATGCCTGGGTTTTTCTTCACCAGTCATTTTCAAGCTCTTTGTTTTAGGCCTATTCAGATTTTCTTTTTAAGTCAGCTTCAGAGTTTGTCTACGAATTTTTTTCATTTCATATAGATTGTTTTAATTATTGGCATACAGTTATTTATACCATTCCCTTGTAAGTCTTATTTCTTAAGGTTAGTAAATATGTCTGTTCTCTGTATGATTTTAAGGATAAAAACTCATTGTCGTCATTAAAGATGCTTTAAAATTTTTCTAGTAATGTGGGAAGATGGTCCTGACAAAATGCTCAGTGAAAAGATCACGATGTAAAATTGTACAGTTTTTGTTGTTTAGTATTAAGAGCTCTAGCTGTAATTATGCCTGTAATCCCAGTACTCAGGAGGCTGAGGCAGGAGGATCACTGTGAGTTTGAGACGAGCCTGGTCTACATATAGCAAGACCCTGTCTTAAAAAAAAAAAAAAAAGAGTTCTATATAATCCATATACTAGACCTTTCTAAGCTTTATGATTCACAGATATTTTCTTCCATTCTATGAACTGTTTATTTGGTTTCTTTCTTTTTTTTTTTTTTTTGCTACCAGGGATCAAACTCAGGACCTTGCACTTGCCAGGCAGGTGCGGCGCCACTGAGCTAAATCCTTGGCCCTGTTTATTTGCTTTCTTGATTATGTCTTTTGATTCCTCTTCATTTTTAAGTTTGTTTGTTGACTTCAGTAGTCTTTAAAACTTAACTAAAAGTATTACCTCATGAAATTCTGGTGACTCCTTGGTGTGGAATAGTGATTTGTGGATCCTAATGTACCTGTGAATATGTATCTGTGCTTTCCTTTGCTAGTAACTATTAAAGAAGAAGACATCCAATTTCAGATACTTTGTCCAGAAATAAATAGAAAATATGATTTGAGTAAAGTTCATGAATTTACTTTTTTTCCTGTGCAATAGAATGCATTTGTAAATGCTTTGTAATTTATTTCAGAAAATAAAAAGGATAGTTTAGTCAGTAGTATCCCATTACACTAAGTACCAGCTGTCTTGGTATTGTGTTGGTATTTCACATTTTCTTATAAAAATAAGAAGATTTGTTTTGAGAAGTGTAAAGGCTAAGCAACCCATATTTCTCTTGTCCCTGGGATTAAGGAAGTGTAACGATAAGATTTGTTCATTTCCAGGATATGTGTAGAGACTCTATATGTAACACAAGTGGAGACTGAGGCTACATTTCACCTTTGGGGAAAATTTTTTTTTTTTTTTGGTACCAGGTATCGAACTTGGGTCCTCGGGCTTGCCGGGCAGGCAGTGGAACCACTGAGCTAAATCCCATTTGTTTTAATGCTACTTTCTTAAGTCAACTTTTCTTGGCGAAGGAAGAAAATAAAAGCATGAAGAAAGGAGGAAATAGATACACGAGTTTAAAAAAAATTTAAATCAGCCCTGTTTGAGTCATGTAATAATTTATGGTTTTCTATTGACTTTATATCTTTCCTAGCTGATGATATATTAAACTCTATCTGTGCTCTTTATCATTTTTTAAAAGCTAATAGTAGCTGTTGAACAAGAAGAAATTCCCAGACTTCAGGCTTTATATGAGAGGGGCCTGCAGAATGGTGTCCAGGGCTTGAGACTGATCCAGCAGGAGGAAATAAAAAAGAAGGAGCCGTATTGTAGGGTAAGTGATTCACCAGCCTCACGCATGTGGCCAAAGGGTATTTTCATTAAGGGCTTAGTCCTTTTGCATCTTGTCACAGAAGCAGTGAGATGACAGACACCAGAGGGCACTGCCACCAACTCTGAACTCTGATTTTTTGTTTCCCTTTGAGAACATACCAGGCCCAACCAACATACACAATGGCAAGAAGAGGTCTGAGACCATATGGCTTGTTTGGAAAATCCTGAACAGGGAGGTGTGGCTGGAAGGAAAGGTGTGGAGGGAGAGATAAGAGATGAGACTGGAAAGGCAGGATTGGGCATGTGTAAAGGAACTGGTGTTCATGCTGGTCGCTTTGAAGTTTTTCCAGCAGGCATGGGGACCAGCTGAAAATTTTTGAGAAGGATAGTTCTGTATTTTAGAACAGTGTGCCTGGCATGGATGAGAAGGATGAGTTGTAGAGTATCTGGCTTTTAAAGCATACAGTGGGGGAAAACACCTTTATTCTTTGAAGGAGACATGAATAATATGTAATACAGACCTTCCTTGTTTAATGATCTACCTGTTTAACAGCTGTTCAGACTTAAAACCGAGACAGGCTGTTCAGACTTATGACCCGTTGCTCAGACTTACCACCCATCTTTTCTCAGTTGGACAGTTCTGTACATCTTGTTTCTAGAGCCTCACTGTCTTTTTTGTACAATATACCTTGTTTACTCAGTACTGTAATGTTTGCCAATTGTACTGTACAGTACAGTACTGTACTTTTATATTCTGTTATACGTTATAGAGCTGCATGGAAGAGTTATGCAAATAAAAGCAGAGTCATCAAGTTGGAGTTTCCTTTGACTGTTTCTTTGTTCTGTATATAGTAATGTACATAGTGTATGCAATTCCTCATTTAACGACCAATTCATTTAATGATCTGGTGGCAGAAGTGTAACTTGGTCACTAAATGAGGAGTGTCTGTAGTTACTCTGCATGTTAGCTTTTGCTGGTAACTGTTCAGAGACCGTTCCAATGACTGTTCGAACAAATGACTATATTTTCTGTACTCCTCCTTCCATCATTTTATTAACTATATACAAGGGTTGGACTCCAGATACTTGTCTGTAGAAAGTATGACCTTGACTGACTTAGTGGCACACACCTGTAATCCCAGCACTTGGGAGGCTGAGACAGGAGGATCACCGTGAGTTTGAAGCCAACCTGGGTTGAACTCCATAGGGAGACCCTGTCTCAAGGAAAAACAAAACAAAACAAAACACCAAAGCAAAGGCAGTGTGACCTTGAACTCACCACCAGGCAATGCTTATCAAAAGCTTAATTTTCTCAGTGCCAGAGACACATGCCTGTAATCCCAGCCACTCAGCAGGTCAAGGCAGGAGGATCACAAGTTGAAGCCAGCCTGAGCAACTGTAGTGAGACCCCATCTCAAAATGAAATTTTCAAAAAGGGCTAGAGGTGTCACTAGCAGTAGAGCACTTGCCTAGTATGTTCAGGACACTGGATTAAATTCCCAGTACTGGAAATAAAGCAAAACAAAACTTGGCTTTGAGAAACATTAATTATGGGAGGAACCTTAGTGGGTGTGTAAACTACTTATTCTGCTCCATCCATTGAGACCGTCAGAGGGGTCCCCCTACGTTGCAGTGTTTCACCTTCCTCATCCTGCTCCCTGTCCTATACCCTATATTGGCCGGTTAGCCACTTTGAATTGTGCTTTGGTTTTAGGGCGGCATCAGCCTGTGGGGTAGGTCCCAGTGTCACTCACTGTGGCTTCTACTGTACGGATGTGGTTGGGGACATACGTCGTTGGCTGTGTTACACAACACTTTGCTCTGAGAACTCTCAGGAGAAATTTCTTGCAGCTCTTCTGCGAATAGTTTTGTTCCCCCTGAGCACAGTTTGCTTATTTTTATTTTTGTTTTTATAGACACTAAATCATTTAACTGATTGCATTGTCCTCTTTGCATTGGCTACAAGGAAGCTCAGAGACAACGTGTGTGTCCTGTCCTGCCAAATATCTAGGGCTGTATGCATACATTTTTATTTTCATATACTAACTTCCCTCTTCAGTTTTGCACTCTCATTTTTTTGTGTGGCCCAATTTTTTGGAACCATGTCATACAACACATTGTAAGACTGTAGTTTCATGAATTTGTACAAAGTGTAATCAGCATCGAGATAAAAACTGAAATGATTACTAGCCTCGGAAGACTCTCCTCATACCCTTGAGTATGTTACCCTAAGTAGTAACTACAATCCTGGCTTCTTATAGCATAGGTTATTGAATTTATGTGTGTGGAATCATGTGGTATGTGCTCTTTTATGTCTCTTTTATTCAGTATCATGAAAGCTGTCCATACCGTTACATGTAGTTGTAGTTTGTTATCACTGCTGTGTATCTATTACTGTCCATTGTGTGCAAATAGCATGATTTGTTCTGCTGTTGATGGGGATTAGAATAGTTTTCAATTTGGAGCCCTTCCAGATAGTACTTCTGTGACCTTTCTAGCACACATTTTGATGAATACATGTTTGTATTTCTGTCAGGTAGATACCTAGGAAAGAAATATATGTCCAAAGTGTGTGTTCCAGTTGATATCAGTAGTGTGAGAGAGTTCTAGTTGCTCCATAGCCTCACTACACTTAGTGTTTGTTTTTGTTTTAACCATTACTTACTTACTGGTGGGTATTTAATAAAGTTTGAGTGTTCACATGCTAATATTTTCCTGTTCACATGCTAATATTGACCATTTGGATATTTTATTTTGATGAAGTACCTGTCTGACTTTTTTGCTCATTTTCCTATTGGGTTTAGTCTTTCATATAATTATTAATTTTTATTAATATTAGAGGGTCACTATATACTGTAATTTGGATGAATTTTTTGCAAAATATATGTTTTTGTGATATATGTATATATCTAAACATGTATTACAGGTATCTTTCTGTAACTTGTCTTTTCACTTCAATAGTGTCTTTAGGTGAACAGATGTTCTAAATATTAATATAGTCAATTTAGCAATTCATACATATATTTCTCTTTTATGTTTAGTGCTTTTTGTTTACTATTTGAGAAATCTTTGCCTATTCCGAGATCTGCAAGATATTCTATGTATTTTTCTAAAATTTTTTTGCTTTACCTTTCACTGTAGATCTATAATCCACGTGGAATTGATTTTTGCAAATAATACGAAGGTCAAGGTACATTTTATTTCCTCCAATAAATATCCAGTTGACTCAGCATCATTTACCAAAAAAGACCTTTCTTCCCTGCTGCATTGCTGCATTCCTTTGTGATGTCAGGTGGCTGTGATTGGACTCTATCCTGTCCTCTTGTCTCTTGGACCACTGCCCTAATGTCTTCATTACTGTGGCTCCAGTGAAAAGGTGCCCTGGTTAGCTGAGCAAAGGTGTTTGGGTTCACAGCAGTTAGGGACTTAGGAAAGCAGAAATAAGGAACAAAAAGCAGATTGGTTGCTTCAAAATTACTTTCCAATAGGGTTAAAGTAGAGGGAACTTTCTTAGCATGCTGGCTAAAACTGGCCTGTTTGGGGATTTAGCTATTATCTGTCTCTTCTGGTTTCTTAGAAAGTCAGGTAAACAACTTAATCTGGTGACGTGGAACTTTAGCATGAGTAACTCCATTTTGGTTTGCTCTGGTGGGGCTTAGTACAGGAATTCAGTCCAAAACAGTGGCTTTCTACACATGTTATTGAACAAGTGCTCTTGAAAAGTACATTAAACTTGTATATGTGCTGTGGAAGCGAGCACAAAAGTACATTAAACTTGTTGCTGTTTCATAGCTTATGTGATTCCAGTGGAATTTACATGTAAAACGAAGATGTTAGAACATCACTGACGTGTTCCTGTCAAGTATTACTTTTGAGAATAAAACAATTTATAATCTTTAAAAAAAAATGTCCTTTTTAACAGTTTCTTATTTGCTAATGAAAAGTTCTTTAAAATTTAAACATTGGTGTCAAAAAGGAAAAAAAAGACATATGAGCTGACTCCACTGTAGATTTGGTTGTGATGTAAAAATGACTTAATTTTAGAATTTAATAAACAAGATTACCAGATTCCTGGTGGTACTGAAATTTGGCGGATTTAGAAGATCATATCTGATTGTTTTCTGTTACAGCTCCTTGTAAAGAGCTTTAGTATATGTGCTGCCAAAGCGAGCACAAAGAGCTTTAAAGAGAAAAAAAAGGAACTGGAACACATGATTCTTTGTATCAGGCTTTACTATTTAAGCAAAACAAAACTTTCCACATGTTGTAAGCACTAGGCTAGGTCAGGATATTTTCCTCTGCCCCTGATGTGCTCTTGCTAGGTCCTTCGAATGGAAGATGGAATGTGTGTGCATACATAATAAAATTCCATGTGTATGCACTTCTTTTCGGTGTTACAGATGAAAAAACTAGTTGTTACTTCCCCATGGTCACAGAGCTCCTAAAGAGTGCCCCACTACAAGAACTGACTCAGAACAGATCTTTTTTTTTTGGTGCTGGGGATCGAGCTCAGGTCCTTGCACTTGCGCAGCAGGCAGCGAAACCACTGAGCTAAATCCCCAGCCCCAGATCTTTTTTTTTTAATCCTTAAAGAAAATTTTCCTAGGGCCTAGGATGATTTAGCTCAGTGGTTCCGCTGCCTGCCTTGAAAGCACAAGGTCCTGAGTTCGATCCCCAGAATAAAAAAAAAAGAAAAGAAAATTTTCCTGTTTACCATGTGCCAAGCACTGTGACTTGATAACTGATGAAAGAGGAGGTTCCTTCTTCTTTCTGAGGCCTCTGCAGAAGTGATGTGCTGTGTATAATGGCAACTCGTCATCGTTAAGGCGTGGGAATATATAGTAGAAAATGTAATTTGGTTATTTCATAAAGATGTCTTAAGTAAATTCCTCCCTTTCTCCCAACCTCACCACTACTTCCAGGAATGTTGGGCAGAATTTCTAAGGTACAGGGTTACTTCTGATTCTCTTAGGACAGCTAGAAAAAAGAAGTTTATCAGGCAGCGCTAAAGGACTTCTTGGACCAGTCTCCATAAGAAGATGACTAAGTACTCCCCGGGGAAGAATCCTGGAGAATTTTTAACTGCCTCTGTAAACTTTGCCTTCAGAGGATAACTCTTCCTGGCTCTCTCTGGGCAGATCTTAACTGCTACCACCTCTGACCTCAGTTCTGCCGATGGGTCCGCCTCTTCTTTTAACATTATTGGTCAAGCACACACTTGTTTGTTCTTGTCTCCTGACTGAGTTCTGCTCTCAACTTTCCCTGGCCTGCTTGCCTGATTCTTTTCCAGCCCCTTGACCTGTCATGGCCTCCCATTTCAAGCTGTGGCCTGCTGACCTGGCCAGTGCCCGCCCCGCCTCCCAGCTGACTGTCACAGCCAGCCTGGCCCCCAGCCACTTGGAGACTGGGCTACCTCTGCCCTGCACCAGTCATGGGCCCAGGCCCTGGTTGCATGCTGGCAGTGACTCTCCCCTCATTTCCCCGGCACACATTCATCAATGAGTGGGACATTAATTTCACCCAAGAACAAAGCTAGGAAGAGAAAGAAAAGAAGGAAGACCTACAGAAGGTCTGTCTGAAGGGGCTAGTGGAGATCCAGGATGGAAAAATTAATTCCTCTAAGGAGGAAAATTGTTTTCTGATTATAAGACTTTTTTGAAATTAGCTAGTGTTATTTCTTTTCTGTTAGACATATTATATATGTGGTAATCATCAAATTTAGGTATTTAATGAAGCAAGTTTTTTTTTTTTCCTTTAAGACTATCAAGCAGGCATAGTGGCATTTGCCTGTAATCTCAGCACTCGGGAGACTGAGGCAGAAGGACCTTGAGTTTGAGAGCAGCCTAGGCTACATAACAATTTCCAGGTCAGCCTGGACTGTATCACAAGATCCAGTCTCAAAATAAAACAAAACAAAACAAACTCATTTTTTGCCAAGCAAAGATAATGTGGGTTATTCATCAAAATAAAGAAATAAATAAATTCAGCCAAAAATAAAATTTTTAACAAATCTCATTGGTTGGTTGTTGATTATATTGTTTGGCTTTTTTCATAATTCTGTCCCAGGGTCTGATGGCTATTGATTGTCCATACACTGGCATTGTGGATTATCGGCAGATAGCTTTGTCATTTGCCCATGATTTCCAAGAAGCAGGTGGCTCTGTCATGACCAATTTTGAAGTAAAAGATATTGAAGTGGCCAAAGAAAGCCCTCCCAGAAGTAGAGATGGTAAGCCACCCTTGTCTTCCCTAATGAAAATCTGCACTGACTTTGAGTGAAACTTGGGGGTGTTTTTGTCGGGGGTCGTGAGGTAGAAGGGCTGGGCTGGAGAAGGGTGCAGAGCTGGGGGGTGCAGGAGGGACGGGGGTGAGAGTGGACGTAGGAGAACCAGAACTCCCGGGAGCCTCTGGTGTTGAAAGAACAAGGCACTGACAGTACAGTCATGCTGGTACTAAAATCAGAACTGCCAAGGACGTTTATGGACAGTTAGTCCCCAAACTTTTCCCCACCCTGCCCGTGAGAGACAGGTGATGCTTATTAAAAATACAGATTTTTATGGCGGGGGATTTAGCTCAGTGGTTTCACCACCTGCTGTGCAGGCGCAAGGACCGGAGTTTGATCCTTGGTACCAAAAAAATAAAAAAATAAAAAAATAAAAATACAGATTTTAGCATCATCTAGACTTAATGAACCTGACTAGGGTTAGGGCTTGGGAACAGTGGGCCAGTGATTTTTGAACATATTCTGAAGCCCCTACCTCTTATTTATTTATTTATTTATTTACTTACTTGCAGTACTGGGGAGGGAACCCATGCCTTCACACTGAGAAACATCACTAACTCTTTATATTTTTTATTCTGAGACAAAGTCTGAGTCACTAAGTTGCCCAGGCAGGGCTTGAATTCTCTTGCCTCAATGCTGGGATTACAGACATGTGCCACTACACTTGGCTTCCGCTTCATTTTAGACTGTACTTAGAGTGTTTTGTTTTGCTTTATGGAAATTTCTTTTTCCTTTTAATCAAATGAAAAATTTGAGGACCAGGGATTTAGCTCAGTGGTTCCACCACCTGTCTTGCAAGCGCAAGGACCTGAGTCCAATCCCCGGTACTAAAAAAAAAAAAGAAAAGAAAAATTTGTAAGCTTTCTGTTTCCTAATAAAATGTAGTGTTCAGTTCTTTTCACCTGGACAGGTTTTGAAGACATCTAGGGCATCTGAATCATTCATCCAGTATCCTTTAAAATACTAGGATGATGAACAAAATTGTTAAATGAGATTGTTATAGGTAGGTAGCATAATAAATAAAATTCATGATGTAGGTAGATTGTTTTCCTAATTTTCAGTCCTTAAACTTTTTAATATCTTAAGATCCCATGTATCTGGGAACAAATGTTATAAATGGTCAGTGGGATTTTTTTGTATTATGTTACTTCTTACTTCTCTAAACAGCCCAGACCCTGCAAGAATATGGTAAGCAACATTTGGATAACACAGCCTTTTGTATTGTAGCTCTTACTGAGCTATGATGGCCCACTGTCCAGTGCTCAGTGAAAAGCTAGGACTTTCAGGTTTGGAGCTGAGGTAGGAATGATTTGTAAGCACAAATTAAACAACTTGAGACAAGCTAAAAGACTTGGCAGTTTTATATATTGTCAAATATGAACTAGTTTAATCTTGTTACTTGGTAAAAAAAACCACAAACTTTAGAATGAAAAATTGGGTAAAATTATGAAAGAAGAAAGTTATTTAAGTTTGTTGTTAGTTAAATTGTTACTAGTCATTTAAATTTGTTAAATAATGGTGGCCTTCCTTTGCTAAAAAAAAAAAATCTTTCACTAATTTTTTTTTCAGGGATGAAATATCCAATTGTGATAAAGAATACAAAGGTAAAGATTCTTAAGCAAAACTGTTGTCCACTTTCATGCCTTCCTTTTTTAAAAAAAATAAGTTGAGTTAACCCACAGGGCTATATTTTAAGTCACTGAATGAAATTTGCATAATGTAAAAGTAATCCCAAGAGAAATTCTTTTAGAGCAGATTAACAGCCTTCATTTTAAGAAAAGTTTCAGCTTGGGAAGTCTTCATGAAGTGGCAGTGCTGGCAAAGAATAGGATGTTAAGGGCACCTGGGGTGTTTATTTTTAAGGCAAAATGTAGATATCTTGTCACTCTGCCAACTCTAGCAATTCGAAGACTGTAGGAGGACATGGAGATTATGCAGAGGGAGGGGACCTGTTTTCTTTCAGCTTCGCATAATCAAAGCAAGAACCACTGAATGGCATAGAGCACTGGATTCCCTGTGTCCTCGGGGCCAGTGGAGAGTGGGGTTCCTTTTGTGTGTAGCAGGATTTACTTGAGGAATTAGGCCGTGCACACTGATGAGGGGCTGGAAATGCAGAGGTTCAGAAGGGAGTTGTTCAGTCAGAGGTTCTCCAACCTGGGACACAGAGCCGGATTTGGATATGGATTTGCTGGGCAGTGAGTGTCTGCCACCACAGTGGACTAGAACAATTCAGAAAATAAGGACTGCTGTTTTAATTCTACCTGCCAAGTCAAATGCGGGTCCTGTTTTCATCAACTTTAAGTTGGAAACATAAAAGAGAAGGGGAAATCTGTCAAGCCTAGCCCCTAACCTAACCAGATCAACACAATACAAATCCTTCTAGTCCATCCCTACCAATGTAGCAACTGTATATGCCCCATATAACCATATTTAGCTTCCAAATAAAGACAGTAGTAAAATTATACTTGCACCTAAAAGGTGTAACTATGCCTCACAGAACCAAAAAAATACTCTCCAAAAAAGATACAAGATGCATTGTATTGTCTTTGGGGGGTGTTTCTTCTGAGTCACACTCCGCCTTTGAGATCCTATAACTCATATACAGAGGTACCTTGGGACTCATCGTTAACTGGTTGCATGAGGTTGACAAGTGCAAGGTGGCTTTGGCTGGAAAAGTTAGCAAGTGTGATGAATCAACACTGAGGAGTTAGAGCTTGCACATCGAGTACTAAACAAATGACAAGAACAGAGACAATAGTTTTATGTAAAAATATATCAGTACCAAATTCAGCAAGTTTGAAAGCAGACTACCAAAGTATGACTGTACTGAAGTGGAAGGGCAGCCACTATTTAAGCATCTTACTAGTTCGGTAGTTCTCAACTGAAAGTGATCTTGCTCCCCAAGAGACATTTGACAATGTCTGAAGTCAGTTTGGGTTGTCACAACTAGGGAGGGGCAGGGCTACTGGCATTTGATGGGTACAGGTCCAGGAAGAGGCCCCCCCAAATAAAGAACTATCCAGCCACAAATGTCAGTAGTAGCAAGGCTGAGAAAACCCTGCGTTAGGAAATGGGAGAATGGGGGAGGTGGGTGTATTAAGTCTTCTCAGGCTGCCGTAACCAGACACCACAAACAAGGTGCCTGAAACAACAGAACTAGGACAGGGGTCCCTGGGGAAGGGGCCCAATTTATATCTATGGAGCAGGTTGTCTTGTCTACTGATTATTAAAATCTTCTTTGGCTCCATGAGCATTCATGTTGAATTCAAATATCTTTACCCTCCTGGCCTGTTTAGATTGATTCTTTCACATATCTTCAGAGCTTCTTTTCCTGGTCAACCAGGCAAACTTCCTACCCATCTGTCCTGGGTAGGATAAACAAGCTGTGATGTTCAACGGTCTGCCTGCTGGGAAAACTTCCCTTCACCACAGTTCTTCAGGACCTAACTGAAGGGTGTCTAGAGCTGTAGCTGTTCATTTCCAGTGGGCTGGAATGTTTTGCAGAACCATTTGTAAACCAGATCCGTGCTCCTTCTTCCTTGACCAGCTGGCCACGGAGGATTCCCTGTGCAGCCGTAGGCACAAATTGATAGGAACAGGTGCTTTTGTAGAAGTGGTCATCATGAACCACTTGCCTCTGTAACTTACAGGTGCCTTCAGGGCCTATAAAACCCTGATCTTATGTATTATACTTCCTTTTGATGATGGAGTGCTGTTGTCCGCACCCAGTTTTGTGGGTTGGTGAATCAGATGACACCCAGTTAATAACGGGTAATTCACATGGTAACTAGGTGACCTGTGGTCAAATGTTTAATCAAGGCCAGAAGCACTTTCTCAAAAAGAAGATTATTATCCACAGAGGAAGGTGTTAGCTTTTCCTCCACAGTCCTAAAGTTCTGTACTGTGATTTACCTACGAGGCCCCGCTAAAGCCTTTGTAAAATCTCACTGCCTGTTACCTACACTTTGGTTACCAGCAGACCTGCTAGATCAGGTGGCCCAAGTAGCAGAGTAACCAGGGTCTCCACTCAAAGAAAGATTAGAAGCCTGTTTCTGTCTCTGGCCTCATCACAGATTTTTCACTCCAGTGTGGCATCGGGTGATAGAAGACGTGCAGGGCCCTATGGGATACCAGTGGCTGTGTTCCTCCCACAGTTATTGTAGTAGAGTTGCTGTTTATCTTCGCATTTTCCTTTAGTATAGTTTTGGGGTTCAAATTCAAATTTTACATCCACTTACCAGATTGAACATTTCTGGTTTATGAGAAATCAAAAGGAATTTTAAAAATAAAGTTTTGGAGGGAGGATTTACAGCTTAAAGATTTATACCTTAGACATGGAGAAATGTCTTTTTTATTTATGAAAACGAAATAGAGATGGATAGTTTGTTTTTAAAAGAAATCTATAATTGAGCAAACATATCATTCAGTATTGACTAAAGTTCAGTTTGAAAGTGAATTAGTATGTTACTGAATTTAGTGATTGTTTCATGTAAAACAGAATGATTTCAGAGACCTGTGTTAATCATTTCTTTGGAACTGTCATTTGAGGGTTTTTTTTTATTTGTTGTTGTTGTTGTTGTTGCTTAGTTTTGTTTTTTGAGAGAGAACTGTTGCATGCTGGTACCATTTTATAAATTTTGTTGTTATCTATACATTTATCATAAGGCTTATCTACATTTTATTTCCAAGAACAAAAGAACTGCTGATCTTTTAAGTAGGAACTGGTAGATAGGTATCACATCAAAGTATTTCTTACACTTCTGGTACATAACTATAGATGAACAGGAAAGATATTAACCTATTTAGAATGAAGCATTTGTTGCTGTTGTTATCACTGACATAGCCCTCGACTTCAAGGGTCTTACAAATATCTTGATTTAGTCTAGCTAACTCAAATTTACTATAGAGAAGTTTAATCAGTTTTCTCAAAACTGTGACTTATATAATGCGTAGAGGCTTACTTTTCTGGTAAGGAAAAAATGGGATGCATATAGAATTGAAAATACAGGGCCAGGGATTTAGCTCAGTGGTTCCACCACCTGCCTCACAAGCGCAAGGTCCTGAGTTCAATCCCTGGTACCAAAAAAAAAAAGAAAATATAGTTTAATAGAATAAAGCTGAGTCTGTGAAGGATGGCAAGAAAGAAAGAATTGACACAGTTGAGAACTTCAAGGCTTTAGAAATACATTGTCTGGGAATAAGAACAGAATATCACCAACAGCAAGGAGTTCCTAGTTCTTTAAAAGTAGTGCTGGCTGTGATGATGTATACCCAGAGGCCCAGTTACTTGGGAAGCTGAACTGGGAGGCCATAAGTTCTAGGCCAGCCTGAGCAATGTAGTGAGAGCCTATCTTAAAGAAAAGAAAAAGATGGGAATTAGTAGTGAATTGAGGTTAAATGATGTCATTTAGGAAATAGGGTGGTAAATTGGCTAAGCCTGGCAGGAAGAACTAAAGCTAAAAATATGGAGATAATCACAGTAAAATTTGTGGGAAATCACAACAGCCTAAGATTAGTATTCTTTCCTTAAAGCATATTTTGTCTGTAGTGTGTGCTCTCAGTAAATGTGTATTGAGTGAATGAGGTTTCTAAAGTACCCTCAGTTTGCAAAGTATAAATTGAGCAGGCGGGAGAAATTGGTTGGTGGGTAGGTTACATTTGGAATCGAGTAGCATTATTGAGTGTGAAATAACCCAAGCGTAACAGGACTATTATTCAGATAAAATGGAAGAAACTGTCTGAAATTAAGAAGAGGCCAAATTGGCAGAAGTCATCTCAACAAAGTTTGTTGCTTCCTGCAACAAATAGTTAAGAAGTTCCATGCTAGGTCCTAGTAGAATAAGTGTGTGTATCTGTGTATGTATGTGTAGCTTAAGTATCCTTAGTAGGTAAGTCATATTATCTCTGATTTAAAGTACAGAATTTGAGGTGATATCCTATTGCATGCCACTGTCTTAAGTTTCTAGCTGTCACCTAAATGCTAGAAAACTTACTTTGCTGATACATACATTGAATTTCCTTTTTCTGAGAAAAGTCTTATTTCTGTACCCCTGTTTTCTCTCCTGTCCTTGCTTCCCTCTTGACCTTTCTACTTCTATCTATATAAATCATGCTTTTAAAAATATAATTATGTTATTTTGGATTAGTATCTATTAATTGTCCATATTAACGGGGTTTGATGTTATATTTCCATGCATACATACAGCATGAACTGATCAAATTCAACCTTCTTTCTACTTCTTACCCTCTATTAATTATTATTCTACATTCAGATCAATTTTTTTAGCTTTCACACGCAGAAAGAAAACTACCACCTGTTCTCTCTTATATGTGGGAGCTAACCTTGCTCTTTCGTTTTGCACCAGAGAGAGGAAATTCGATGTCAGTATGTTGTGACATGTGCAGGACTTTACTCAGACCGTATGTCAGAGCTGAGTGGCTGCAGTCCTGATCCTCGAATTGTACCATTCCGGGGAGATTACCTTCTTTTGAAGCCAGAAAAAAGCTATCTTGTAAAAGGAAATATTTACCCGGTAAGTAATGATGTTTCTGCCTTCTCATCTTCTCAAGTTGGTTGCAGGCATAAAGGAAATGCAAACATCCAAAGTAAGAGAGGAGCGAGGCCTATGGCATTCACCTGTACTCCCAGCTACTCGTGAGACCAAGGCAGGAGAATCTAAAGTTTGAGGCTAGACTAGTCATTTTAGCAAGACCCTGCCTCAAAACAAAAGTATAAGGAATAGAGATACACTCATAGCTTAGTGGTAACGTGTTTGCACAGCATGGCATATACAAGGCCCTGGGTTCATTTCCTAGTTCTACCAAAGGGGGCAGTGGGCTGGAGGGCTATTTATGTGGTTAAATCCCTTAAATCTGTATGCTAATATCCTGGTCATTAAATTATAATTAATTGTATCCAAGTCCCTATCTCCAGAAAGCATATGGGAAGTGCTAGCATGAGAGAAGCAGATTCTTCCTCCTCCCTGGCAGAGGAAGCACCCACAAGGGAACTTTCCCTGGTGCCAGTCCAGATACCCAGCCCTCTTTCTCCATTCACAGAAGAGGGATGTGGCCACTCTGTAGGTCCAGGGGCTAGAACACAGGCATTTAAATGAAAATGTCACTCTTCTGTCTGAAACTACCTTGAAATGACCGAATCCCTTCAAATATATTAGGTTGAGCCAGATGAAATTGATTCAGCTAACATTCAACTATTTGATGTTTTCGACCTTGCCAAAGTCATCTACTTCAACCTCATCCAGTCCACTTCATAAAACCCTGTGCATTGAATGTGGCTTTTTTCTCTGACACCCCTGATTTTACCTGCCAGTCATGGACATCCCTAGTTGTAGAAAGGAGAGGTGATACTCTAAAGTAGAGAGTATACCTTTTTTTTTCTTTACCCAGAAGGATAAATAGATAGTGTAGTGTGCATTAGTGTCAGAGCATCAGTGTTCTTAGGTGGCATTTCTGAGCAGAAGCATGTTAATAGGAAAATGTCTGAGTACGGCTCAAGTGCAAATGGAATGCACACACAAAAGTGTATTCTACTATGAATTGAATGTTTGTTTCTGTGATAAAGTAGAGTGTGAAATGGCTCTAATACTTCTTTGCTGTGTTAAATCTGTAGGTCCCAGATAGCCGGTTTCCCTTCCTAGGAGTTCACTTTACGCCAAGGATGGATGGCAGTGTTTGGCTAGGACCTAATGCAGTACTTGCTTTTAAACGGGAAGGTTACAGACCCTTTGACTTCAGTGCCAGAGATGCTATGGATGTAATTATCAATAGGTAACAACTTCCCTTTGAAAAATTATTTTACATTGGGTGCAGTCGCGCCCTTCTATAATTCCAGCTACTTGGGAGCCCAAGGAAGGAAGATCAAAAGTTTGAGGCCAGATTGGGTAATCTGAAACTCCATCTCAAAAATAAAGAAAATGTACTTATATTTTTAATGTGGGAAATTTTGATGTTCTCCTTCTGGGATAAATCCCCATATTTGTAATTGGTACATTATTTTTATTAACCTAAATTAAGATTTTTGTGGAATAAGTTTTTTGTTTTCTTGGTGCTGGGGATCGAACCCAGGGCCTTGTGCATAACAAGTGTGAGCTTTTCCACTGAGGTACACCCCCAGCTCTAAGTATAATGTTTTAATTACTTGACGAAAATTCTGATGAGCCAGGGTGATGTCCTGCTTAAAAGAAAGTAAGACCAAGAGCCATTCATATATCTGACAATCCAAATCATATCACTAACTTTCTAGTTAAATTTGAAAAGGAAAAAGAAAGGTTCTTTCAGAATCAATAAATGGCTTACTTTGATAGGACCATTTGAAGTTAGTCCCGTTACTTTGTAAGTTACTGGAGAAATTGCTGATGAGCAAAACATTTACTTTTGTGGAAAACTAACAGTACTATTGTATTGGTCTAAGATGCAGATTCCTCATTATTGTAAGAAATAACATCAGGAAGTATTTTGTTCAGTTCTTTTAGCAGTGTTTTCCACCAGAAGATTTCACATCAAAGAATATCTTGCCTCTGGCTGACTAGATGGTTCACTTGTTTAATGCCCTCATTTAAAGATCTGCTAATGCAATCCCAATACTCTGAGACGCTGAGGCAGGATGATCACAAATTCAAGCCCTGCTTGAGCAATTTAGTGACTCAGCAACAAGGCTCTCAGTACTCTTTGGAAATTTGAGTTTGAAAAGTGTTGATCTCTTCAGTTGATGAAGTTCCCTTCTTATATTGGCCAAAAGTTGATTTTCTTTTAATATATAGTTCTTCTGATTTTGCCTAGATTTCTGTGGTACCACCAAAAAAAAATCTGATAGTTGTAAAGATGTTTTATACTAATAAAGAATTCCTTTCTCTGATAAAGAAATTGTTTTCTTTGCTTTCAGTGGCTTGAGTAAACTGGTTTTCCAGAATTTCTCCTATGGAGTTAATGAAATGTATAAAGCCTGTTTTCTTGGTGCAACAGTGAAGTACCTTCAAAAGTTTATCCCTGAAATTACCACCAGTGATATACTTAGGTAAGGAAAACCGGTGCAGGTTGTAAGTACCTTCCTGACCTTGGTGAACTTGAGAGGTAGGTCGGACTTGGTGAGCACTAAGCACACTTTGTCCTCTGACTCTTTGCTCCTTCTTTCCTTGCAGTGCATGGAGTGGGCATTGCTATGTCATGGCCTTCGGTGCCGGGCCACTTATAGTTAGCTAAGCCTCTTTATACCTCAAAATCGAGCTCTCTGTCTCAGCTTTACTGTGAGGTCACCTTAGCCTTTGTGCTGAGCTATCTATCTACCATGCATGATAAAACTATCTCACCTGAATTGTTTTTTAAGTTTCCTGGACACTTTCTCTTATGATTCCCAAAGCTTTTGGCTTTCATTCTGTGTAAAAGAATCGATTACCATGTTAACCAATTAGCGAATAAACACATTAAAACTTTATACTTTGAGGCCCCGGGGATTTAGCTCAGTGGTTCCACCACCTGCCTCGCAAGTGGAAGGTCCTAAGTTCGATCCCCAGTACCAAAAAAACTTTATATTTCGATCAGTTCTTGAAACTTAGAAACACACTCGTAGAACTGGCATCTCACCTTGCTCCCTCTCTATAACTTTTGTTCTTTCTCAGGCCTTTTTCTGAGAATCTGCTGGCAGGATAGCTGTGTGGTAATAACCAAAGTCCTTGGTGTAGGGGTATAGGGCAAAGTGAAGGTGACTTTTATATGTATGTATGTATTTTTTTCTTTAGATATAAGTCTTTCCAGACCCAGTCCATAGATTATTCTAAATACCAGCCAAGCCTATTTATTTTTCCTCTCTTGGGATATTTTTAGAGTCTTCATCTTTTTCCCTGAGCAAGCCATTTGTTAGGTCTAATCAGCAGTGTGCTCTGAGATTCTCACCCTGCACTTACAATCCATCCCTCACAACACTCCAGAGCACTAACTGTCTACTCCTCTGTAACAGGTGCTGAACTAGGCTGGTGTAAAATGTCAGCAGGCTCCATTGTGTCAGAAAAGAGAGCAGTAATCATGTCAGCTGTCTCCCTTAGGGGATCGTCCTGGTCTAAATCTGACTCTAATGTATCATTCTGAAACCAGCGTCTTCGAATTCTTGGAGGAACTATTAAAACCAGCTAATATTTTTACTCTCATCTCCTTTACCCTTCTACTCACCTTCTGAAATAGAAGGGATAAAAATATCTAGGCTTTATTTTCTGAGTGGTTTGCTTTTACAGACTTGGAATGTTTTATATGTGAAAACAGACTGGTCAAATTTGGTTTCTGTTACTGGCTATTAATATTCCTTTGAAAACACACTAGATCGGCATAGTGAATTGTATGTAGAAATGATTGTAGTGCATTCAAAACCCATATTAAATTACCATGCTTTCATAGAAGCCCTTCATATGGTAGAGCGAGACTTGGGGCTTATGGGTATTAGTGACTCCGGCCTCTGGATGTACCATGTGAATTTGTTACCAGCTTCACTGGCACTGTAGGCAGGTGCATCTGGGGAACGATTCAGCTCAATCACAGATGAGTTCCTTTTTCACGACAGAGATGCTGGGTACATTCAGCAATTACATTTGTTCCTTCTCTTGGTTCCTGTAGCTATTAAATACAGGAAATTATCAATAAGAAGAAAGAGAAGAAAATGTGTTTAATATTATTTATAGAAGCTTAAAAACAAGCATGATAATACCATATATTGTTTATGGATTCTGCATATCATGTGTAGATAAAAACAAGCATGGGACTGATAAGTACATAATTCAGGCAAGAGGCTACCTCTGAGAAGGGAAGGAACATGATCCTGAGAACCCACAGGGCTCCTATCATATCTCTAATGTGTTATTTCTTAAGCTGTTTGGTAAGAAAATAGCTATCCATTATGTTACTGTCTGTACCTTGTTATGTGCCTAAAATATTAAATAATAAGATCAGTAGATATTTCCACAGCATGAAGCCCAAGTCCTGCCTTGTCTTATTCTTCTTGCAGCCCAGTGTATTTAAACCATAAATGTGTCAGAAGCAAATCAGGCAGTTTTAGACAGTAAAAGCAATAGAAGTTTTACTTCCACGGTGTTGTGTTACCCAGGAAGTACACCCTCAAATGTCAGTAGCCACCACAGGACGTCCATCTTCTCATTGCCTAGCCAGAGCATTTGGGGCGATAATTTACTGATGAACATTAAATTTGAATGGAAACTTACTACCTGACAAGTATATGCATTAGGTGTACAATGTCTCATTCTTAAATGATGATCTTTCTCTAGATCATCTTAATTTTAGCTCTGAACTCCTTTAATCTGTTCTGTTTGTCCTTTAATTTTGACATGTTATGATAACTAATAGTAAGGGCTCAGGATTTAGCTCGGTGTTTCTGCCGCCTGCCTCGCAAGCTCAAGGACCCAGGTTCAAGCCCCATACCAAAGATAACTAATAGTAGTACTGTCTGGTAGGAATAGACAAAGATATACAAATATGAGGTAATCTTCCCATTTTCCCACACATCATTTGGCAAAATGTCTCACTGGTGAATTCTGGAGAAAATTTTCAAGCAAGATGTTTTCATCATGAATGATAACTATGTCATGTCATCCTGAAACACAAAGGATAAACATTTCTACAGGTAAGTTGCAATGATTTAAGATGATACAGATTGGAGTTTCTTGATGTTGGTACTGTTGACATTTTGGCCTAAATAATTCTTTGTTGTGGGGGCCCATCCAGTTCATTGTAGGATGTTTTAACAGGATCCCCGAACTCGTTCCCCTAGTTAAGACAACCAAAAGTGTCTTCAGACATTGCCAGTGTCCTCTAGGAGGCAAAATCTCCCTTGCTTGAGAACCACTAGTCTAAAGAATATGGTAACCCACACACTATAAAAATACTGAGAGAAAATATAATAAACATCTTCAAAATGCATATCCCTGAGAATACAGGAAAGTAAGGGGTATCCCAGGACCAAAATACAAAGAAGAAATTTAAAAACCCTCCCGAAGAAGGGTTGGTCCTGATGCTGACCTAAAGAGGTAGAGAAGATTTGTTGATTTTAATATTGAGGGGCATGTGGATGTGGTGGCACACATTTGTAATGCCAGCACTCAGGCTGAGGCAGGAGGATTGCTGTGAGTTTGAGCCCAGCCTGGGCTACACAGTGAGACACTGTCTCAAAAAAGCAAAATAAAAAGAAAGAAAAATCCCTGAGGGGCTTGAGTTATATTTTTAACTGATGTGTGATTCACATGCAATGAAATGTATAGATCTTAAGTGCTCAGTGAATTTTTTACAGTTGTATAATTCATGTATTCACACAAAACAAGATATAGAACATTGAATACTTTATTTAATTGCCACTAAGTGCTAGAAAGGAGTCCTGGGGCCTATACAAGGTAGAAAGTTGGAACTGAGACCTCAGAGTAAAGCCAGGAACTCTTGAAGGATCATATTCCCTTTTGTTTTATTTTTTTTTGAGACAGGGTCTTGCTATATATTTTAGGCTGCTCTTGAACTCACTGTGTAGCCCAGGCTGGCCTCGAACTCACAGCAGTCCTCCTGCCTTAACCTCCCAAGTGCTGGGATTGCAGACGTGTGCCACCAGAAGGACCTCATTCTTAATAACAAGGAAGTCTAGAAAAAAATATGCCCTTTACCACCAGAAAATGTTAAGGAGTTTTGTATGTTCTGATCTTGGGGTGGGGAGTAGATAAGCTGAGAAATTAATTTAGAAAGTGGACCCAGACTTGTTCAGATCCTACTTCAAACTAATGAACAGCTCTTTCTGTCTCTCTTGGTGCTCCTCTCTCTCTCTCTCTCTCTCTCTCTCTCTCTCATCTATCGCTATCTCAATAAATTACTACTGCCTCTTTTTCAGTAGATGAAAGAGAAAGTGAAAACTCAGTTTTAACCACAGACTGAATATTGTTGATACTAAGCAATTACAGGTTTATTGTTGAGACTCCTTTTAATACACACTGAAGTGAAATGGTGTGCTATCAGGGTTTGCTTTAAAATAGTCCAGCAGAGAGGGCTGGGAATGTAGCTCAGTGGTGCCTGCCTCCCAAGTGTAAGGTCCTGAGTTTGATCCCCAGTACCAAAAAAAATCCAACAGAGAAAGGTGAGTGTTAAGCGGGGATATTGGGGGGATAGATGAAATAAGATTGTGTGTGTGTGTGTGTGTGTGTGTGTGTGTGTGTGATTGAAACATTCATTGTACATAATGATAATGATAATTCATACATGGGAGATCATTATACTGTTCTTTTCACTTTTCTTACATGTTTAAAATTTCCCATTAACAAAAGCGCTCCCTGGAGCCCCTGGTAGAAGCAAACATAAACCTGTGTAGGGTTATACCCTTCAGTCCTTATAATTTCCTCAGATAAGCCCTGCTAAACAAGGCCTCGCAGTCAGACTTTATATCACCATGTGAGTCAGCAGATGAATTAAATAGTAGAATTAGACCCATAACAGCTATGGATAATAATAATATTAGAAATGGTAAAATGAGTATGCTTCAATGAATTAAAAACAAAGAAGGTATAAAAACAGGGCCAGGGATTTAGCTCAGTGGTTCTGGCACCTGCGTCCCAAGTTCGATCCCCAGTACCCCCCCCCAAAAAAAGAAGGTATAAAAACATGAAAAAAGAATAAAGAAAAAATGCTAGGCAAATTTGGAAATGGGCTAATTACAACTTTAGAAGTGAAAAAGAGAGTTTTTAATATTTAAAACTTTTTTTAGCAAAGCAGTTATTGGTACATTTTAGATATACATAGTGATAACATCATAGGGAATTTATAACTTAAGTGACTAGGTTAAACAGCTGGTTAGATCTACCTAAGAGAAAGTTAATGAATTGGAAGAAAATCTTAAAAACTTAAAAAGAAAACTGCAATATAAAAATACATGTGTGGAAGTTAAAAGATATGGAGAAAAAAATGAAAAACTCCAGTTTATCTGTCATAGGAGTTTCAGAGAAATTGATATATAGTGAGTTTCACCTGAATAAATAAAACTAAAGCAGGAATGGAAACAGGCTTCTAAAGTAGTAGAAGAGGTAAATAAAAAAAAAATTTAGAAAACTCAATAAGTTAAGAAAGAGTGAGTTGCACCAGGGATGTAATTCAGTGGAGCCACGCCTGCCTGCCAAGCACAAGGTCCTGAGTTCAATCCTCACTATCGGAAAAAAAGAAAGAGGGAGTTGGCCATGGTGGGGCATGCCTGTAATCCCAGCACTTGGGAGGCAGAGGCAGGAGGATCACTGGGAGTTCGAGGCCATCCTGGGCTACCTAGTGAGTAGGAGGCCAGCCTGGACTACCTGGAGAGACCCTGTCTCCAGACAACAACAACAACAACAACAAAAGAGGAAATAGAAACATTAGAAAAATCAGGTCACATAGTCAAATTAATATGATAAAAATCAAATATACCAGTAATTACAATAAAGGTGAATGTGCTTAACTCAGTTGTGAAGGCAGAGATTGTCAGGTTGGATTTGAGAAACACACCTAATATATTAGGAAAAATGTTTATTTAAAAATAGGTACTATGTTTATTTCAGATAGAGTATAATTTAAGACAAAAATATTTACCAGGAATAAAAAATTAAGAATGTTAAAGACAAAGGAAATGCATTAGGGAATATCATTAGGGATAAACTTGCTGCATATAGTACCATAGCTATGAAATGCAGAGGGAAAACTTGCCATAATTGCAGGCAGAAATTAATAATTGTGCTATGTGATTTTAAGATATATGGCTAATAATAGGTGGATTTAGCATATGAAATGCTAGATGATTTGAATACAGCACTTATAGATCCTTTGCCAAATACTTGTATTAATTTAAGCCTTCACAGAACATTTACAAAAGCTTAAAATGTTCTAAACCAAAACCCAGGTTCTCAACAAAATTCACAAATTGAGCATAAAGGGCTGAGGTGTGACTCAGTGGCAAAGCACTTGCCCAGCATGCACAAAGCCATCCCCAGGACCACAAGAAGAACAAGTGGACATAGAAAAACCATGTTCTCAGGCCGGGGATTTAGCTCAGTGGTTCCACTGCCTGCCTCGCAAGTGCAAGGTCCCAAGTTCGATCCCCGGTACCAAAAAAGAAAAAAAAACCCATGTTCTCTTATCACAGTCCAGTTATGATAAAGGTTAGTAATAAAAATACTACTTCATGTCAGGAAATTAAGTTGGAATTGTCTACTTCCTCATACCACCACTTCCAATTTAAATGTGTTCACCCAGATTTTTTATCTTTAGATAGCAGTAGATTGCTTCATGAGCTTTATAAAATACTAGGTTATCCTATTGGGGACTGGCAAAAGACATCAGTTATAGCTTTTCATAGATACTTCCCTGGTTCACAGTGTGATGCTTCTGCATGACAGTAATGGCATACAGGACTTCTGAGATGAATGAATGTAATTAGTCACATCTACCTGTTCTTGTTTCTGAACATAATTAAGTATCTAGGATGTACTTTCCCATTAAATTTACCTATAAATATAGCAAAATTTACAGCTATAGATATCACTACATTAAATTTAGCTGAATTCACAGAAATTAATTTGCTGCATCATTTGTTCTTTCAGTTGTTCAAATAGTTAAAAGAATTAAAAGTTAAAAATGTTAAAAGTTAGCCTTACTGAATGCCTGCAAGAAATAAATCTAGCCAGGGAGGTGAGGTGAGGTATTATAGGAGACACTGTCCTACTCCTTAAAGCATTTATAGTGTACCTGAAACTTCAACTTGTAATATTTATCTCAAGCTGGAGTGTTGAGAGGGGAAAGCCTATATATATAACTTTGCTAAGAACCATGAAGTTCCTTTACATGCTGAAAAAGGAATACAGAAATACCATGAATTTGGTAATTTAGATATTTCATATTTATTTGAACTAAATTGAGATCTTAAGAAAAACCCAAGCATGATGACCATGCCTGTAATCCCAGCACTCTGGGAGGCTGAGGCAGGAGGATCACAAGTTCTAGCCCAGCCTGGGCAACCTTGTAACTTAGCCAGATTGTATGTCAAAAAATAAAAGGGTTGGCCATGTAGCTCAGTGAGAAGGCCTTGGGTTTGATCTCCAGTACCACACACGCAAAAAAGGGTTGGTGATATTGAGGACATAATTTGTTGGTATAAGAGAAATAAATAAGTGCAGAAACATTTTTAATTGTGGTTAGTTGGTATTACCTTCTACATGTTTGGAAGGAATGAGAGGAATGTATCAGTTAAACCTCTGGACAGAGTAAAAGTCATTTTACATTGAACACTGAACCTTAGTGGCTGCTCACACGGCTGTGTGAGCCCAATATATTGATCTTCTGCTAGACACAAGGAAAAGGCCATGAAAACTCAAACATGGAGACACCTGCAGCAGCAGTGTTTTCTAAGAAAAGGGAGAAGTGCTGCTTTGATGAGTGGAGATAAGCAGTAAACAGTTTGCAGAATGGGCCCCGTGCTGGCTGGTAATCCTGATTTGTATGCTTGCCTACAAAGTATCAGCTTCCGGTACCATTCTTTTTGCATTCTATGAGATGTACCAGTTTGTTACTTGGAAATTCCTCCGGCTCATAAATATCCTGTCCAGACTCCATGCAAGCTTCTGTAGGCCATGACTTACCTGTACTAGTCTTCCCCACTGCTTGTTATTCTTATTTACTTCTCCATGTAAGAACGGTGTACCTCTGTAACTCCAGGCAAGATAATCTCTCTGTGTTTCTTTGCTGTTAAATATAAACAGCATCAGCCTTTTAGGGTTATTGTGAAGATAAACGAGATAATTCCTAATGTGTAGTAAGTAAGCACTTGGTAAATACTAGCTATGCCGATCATTATCTCTCTTCAGCCAGGCTGAGGGGTTAGAGGACAGTGCTGTCATTTTGTTCTTTGTATCATCCTCAAGCACTTATCAGAGTTGTCCCAGAAGCATTAAAAGGTGTTTCACATTGCCTGATGTCTTGAGTCTCGATGAGATTTCTATATATCTGTGTTTATACACAGTGGTACCTCGGGTCACGAACTCAATTCTTTCCATGATTCTGGTCGAAAACCAGACTGGACGAGAACCAAATCAAATTTCCCTGTAAGGTCAACATTGAACCTAACTATTGAATTTGATTCGGTTCTCATCCAACTCAGTCTGCAACCAGATCATGGAAAGAATCAAGTTTGTGAACCAAGGTCCCACTTAGATCTGTATCTGTTTATCTGTGAATGAGCTTTTTCCCACTGGGTTTCTTTGAACAGTTTCAAAGCAGGCAGGTGCTTTTGGGTTTTAAAAACATTTAATTCAAATTTCAGGGCTGGGGTTGTACCTCAGTGGTAGAGCACTTGCCGAGCAAGTGTGAGGCCCTGGTTCAATCCCTGGTACTTCAATGAGTCAATCAATGTCATTTGTAAATTTTAACTTTTTTATTTATATTTTTATTTATTTTTTGGTACTGGGGATCGAACTCAGGTCCTTGCACTTGCACAGCAGGCGGCGAAACCACTGAGCTAAATCCCTGGCAAATTTTAACTTTTTTAAAATAACAGAAATATAGTTTGTAAACTCAAGTGTTATAAAACAGAACTCAGTAAAGAGTCTCACTGTATTATATACTACTCAATTAATTCATTTTTATGATTTTCCTATCTCCAATTAATTATTTTCGTGATATTGAAGGTTAAACTATTAAAAAACTACAAAATGAGAACTTCTTACCCTGTAATATTTTTCCACATAAATTTTGTGTTCAGTCAAGACAAAGTGAAAAAATAAATAAAGAATGCACCTGAAACATTTAACTCCTATTTTCATTGCTTTGTATTAGCCAGAAGAGCCTTTTTGTTGCCATTGATTGGCTTTTTTATACTAAATTCATTCATAAGTTTAAATAAAAATACTCTACATCTGTTCTAAGTGTGGATTTTTTCTGCTACTTTTGGAAAAACATGTTTATGAGTAACTTACCTACTTATACATTTCTTTGATAAGGATTTATTGCCCTATTCCATAATGAGCATCATGCTCTAATCTAGGCTAAATGCTACAGGTTTGCTAGGCTACCACTGACAGCCATTGGGAAGCATAAACTTACTGGATCTCATCAGAATTGTATTGCTTTAAGAAGACTTTGAAAATCACTAACTTGTAACGTGTTCTGTCTCTTCCAGTCTGTTGACTACCATGGTTTTGCTTTTGCAGAGGTCCAGCTGGAGTAAGAGCCCAAGCCCTGGACAGAGATGGAAACCTAGTGGAAGATTTCATATTTGAAGGAGGAGTTGGGGACCTTGGAAATCGTATTCTTCACGTGAGAAATGCACCTTCCCCCGCTGCCACTTCTTCCCTCACAATTTCTGGAATAATTGTAGATGAAATGCAGCAAAGATTTAAATTGTAACTAATGAAAGGAGCTAGACTCGCATTATAATGTCCACATCAGCCACCAGGATGTACTGTACTCATTGAATTTTTAATTATAATTTAAGAAAATGGTTTTAAAATCCCACTTTTAGGTTAAAAATAACCATTGAATTATTAAAATGATGTAATATAGAAATGATTTTTTATAAAGTACATACTCTTTCACTTTGTGAATGAAGAAAAAAGGTGCAATTTTACCTGTCCTGAATTCCTGACATCATTAATGATCTGTTCTTACCAATCATGATTTAAAGAAGATTTGGTTCCTTTAGAATTTGGGGGAAAGGTGTCATAAAAAATTGATTAGCCAAGCATGGCAGCATGTGCCTATAATCTCAGCACTTGTGGGCCAGGGATTTAGCTCAGTGGCACCGTGCCTGCCTCGCAAATGCAAGGTCCTGAGTTCGATCCCTGGTATCGAAAGGAAAAAAAAAAAAAGTCCATATAGTCTCAGCACTTGAGAAAGCGAGGCAGGAAGATTGCAAGTTTAGTAGCCCAGCCTGGGCCATTTAACAGCTTAACAAGATGCTGTTTCAAAAGACAAAAACAAAAACCTCTGTAGATCAATTTTTGGCTTTATAGCATCTAAGCTTCTTTGTCTTTTCTAGATAAGAAGATATATTGTAGTTGCAAATGTTTTCATTTTTAAGAGTCATAGGAAAGCTTACAGTGTTTAGACCAATGGTATTTGTATTTGGAAATTAAAAATTCTTAACTTGAAGAAAACACATGAAATCTCACATTTAATTTAACACTCAGTCTTTATTATTCCCGGTACCTTTAT